GGTGTGGGTGTGGGTGTGGATGTGGGGTGTGGGTGTGGGTGTGGGTGTGGGGTGTGGGTGTGGGTGTGGGTGTGGGTGTGGGTGTGGAGTGTGGGGTGTGGGTGTGGGGTGTGGGTGTGGTTGTGGGTGTGGGTGTGGGTATGGGTGTGGGTTTGGTAAGAAGATCTACACCCACACCCACACCCGTGTGCACAAGAAATGTTTACACCCACACCCACACCCACACCCACACCCTGCGAAGCTTTCGTATTATCGATCGGAATGTATCAAATTTGACCTGATCTGAATCAAAAACACAATACACAGTTAGTGGAAGCCAAATCCACTAACTTATATCTTGAAGTCTTTACTATATTCCACCCTTGTACTTATTTCACGTCAATGTCCTTAATTATTCTGATTCTCATTTATTTTCATTAATTATTAGTAAAATTCATGTTTGACTATTGAGTTAATGTTCTATTGAACAATAATTCGCACCTACCAAGTAGAATCTATGTTTTAGTTCGACAATGTTTTTTTCTTCTTATGTAAGACTCTAGGTGTTAGAATTATTTCTCAGGCGAAATGCATCCATATACATGTCAACAATGGACATATGATCTGTTTTTGAGTAAAACATAAAAGAATAATATTTAAGATGGAAAATGATAGGAACAAAATAAATAAGCTAGAAAATATTGACTAAGGTTAATGCTGCATTTCTCTTGAAGTAGTAATCAGATATGTTAATGTTGATGCAGCAATGATAGATTTCATTTTCGAGAGTATGACAAAAATTTGACATTTTAGCATAAGATTGACGCTTGTGAATACAAAATTTTCAGGACCAGAACATCTCATCTATTAATGCAAGCAGTCATAGTTCAAATTAATTCTAATCGTAAAAGTTGAATGATTTTTTTTAGCAATCATTACAATGAACTAGCATCATATAATAGCAACAAGTTTTAACCTGCAACAGACATCTCTGGTAGTATCAATAGCTATGACCTATTCTTTCTGTATGCATTCCATAATAGCCATTTTTTTTTCAATAATATTTTTACACAAAAATTTTTATTGGATAAGTCAATCCTGATGCATCGAAGAATTTTCACTAATAGGAAAACAAATATTCGGTTGTTTGGAGTCTTTTAATCAATGGTACCACAAGAATGATATTAGAATAAGATAACATTCTTAGCTTCATTCACGAAATAACACTTACTGAACTGCTTGAGTTGAAATCTATATTTTATATTGAATTTATAGTATTCTCAGTAAAAATGCTACAAGAATTCAATAAACTTGTACCTCTATTATATATCAGAGATCTGAATGGACTGGGCTGGGCCGAAGAAAGTCGATCCATGAGTTATCGATCTTTGGCCCAGCCAATCCATGGTTTTTCAAAGAAAAACTGGCTCAGCCCAGCGGTGGGTGTGGGCGTAGGTATTGATATTTCTCTCACCCACACCCACACTCCCACACCCACATCCACACCCACACCCACACCCGCACCCACACCCACCCACACCCACACCCACACCCATTCACACCCTTCACTATATATGTACTATGTAGATATCTAGATCTAATCTATGCTAGAATTTGACTTTTCTATTTATCATTGATTTAGACATGCAAGCAATGTAAAATTCAGGGAAAGGATGTGGGTGTAGGGTGCCGGTGTTGGTGTGTGGGTGTGGGTGTGGGTGTGACTTAAGTAGAGAAGTAGGCTCACGCCCACGTTCACACTCACATCAACACCCCACTCTACATTTAATGAAGTGATTGCAGATGTTTTGACATCGCATTAATATCAATCGTCATTAATATTGCCACATATCCGTGCCACTTTGAAATGGTGTGCGATTGGGTAGCCGCTGTTTATCTATAAGTAAATGGTGAAAAAGACTTCCACCTTGTTCATATATCTTGACAATGTACTTCACAGTTGCATTTGGATCAGGAATGAAAGTAACACTTAACAGACGAAATGTGGTTAGTGGAGCATAGATGACCTCTTCCTCCTCAGGGAATTGTGAAAACGACGAGATATCCGCATTAGTTTGTGTACGACATCCTTCTTGTTCTTGTTTGGACAGCGTTTGTATTTCGAAAAGAACATTTCCACTCATCATAGCACGCGCTACGTTTTTCGACGTCGACGTAAAGCAAACAAAGTAAATCTGTTCACCGATGAGAGAAATTAGAGCGGCAATATTTTCTTCTGAGGTCTGAATTCCCCGATAGAGCGTACCAACAAAATAAGGTAACGACTTGTCATTGAATAGTTCAAAATAGTCATAGACGATGAAGCGCAAGAGATGCACATCTTCGATATGACATTCTGCTAGTGCCCGATTGACCAGTTGATAGAATGGTGGGGATTCAAGTGACCAGAGTCGAACAAGATACTTGATTAATGTCACACGTTTAACACAGCAGCCGGGAGAGAAGTGACGACATATCACTGCGATTTGTTTCGGTGATAAACCATGGCGTTTGCCAAATGTAATGAGTGCCACAATCTGAGCATCGTTTTTTGGAAGATCAATCGATTTGGCAAAACGAAGGTGCTGAAATAATTTCGGTCCTGAGAGACTACAACCAGACATATAGCCAACGAATTCAACGTTAGTTTCAATGGGATCCAAGAAAATTCTATGCTTAATTGGATCCACCTCATCCACAAAGATATTACCGAATGCTTGAACTTCGACCAGAAGCATCATCTGAGCAATAGCCATTCCTAAAGTATCCGGATATATACAAAATTGATGCAGTAGCGAACGATCGTTTGATATGATCAGACATCTTTCAGTTATCTCAGGCATTTTGGTCCAACATCTGCGGTTACATTGTAAATAACGCAAATACTTCGTATATAACTCTTCGTCATGCTCAATCCCAAAGACGAACACACACATTGTCAAACAGCCAGTTGTTTGAAGTTGAAATACTTCTTGCTTGGTGAAAAAGGTATCTGCTGCATTGTTGTCAACTGCTACTTGCACGTGTTCAAAGCTCTTATCTGAGAGGAAAATAACAGCTGAATCAACAGTACGAAATGCATGAAACTCGATCGTGTTGCTCGATGCCAATATATCTAATAAAGCACTGTTTTGATTAGTATCTCCGCCGGTATCGATCCAAACAACTATGGATCGTCGAACGATTCCCGATTCCACTATCATATGGTGCCGAAAATTAGACATGGCTTGATCTAAATTTGAAAAGAATACAGTTTCATCTTCCAACCCCCGATAATAAACGCTTCCTGAGGCGTCTGATCTGTCCAGCGTTCAAAATTTTTAGATGAGCTTCTGTTATATTCATTCTGAGGGTGTGAAAATAGTTTAATGTCACTCACATCCTCATCCACACTCACACTCTTGAGTGAGTGTAATGTAAAGTTGTTATTTAGAAATGAACTAATCACTTTAGAAATAAAACTTCGCAAGTTTAGTAGTGTGTGAATGCCTTCAAGGAAACTGAACATACCCCATAGTTGATGCTGTTCTTCAGCTTCTATTGAATCTGAAGGATGAGTGTGTTTGTACCATGCACTCAAATAAAGATCATTCATATACTTGGTTTCTTTTGTTGTTAAAAATGGAAAATCTCGACAATTTTCTCTCCAGAAAATATATGCTTGGCATTCATTCAACGACGTTTCATCTAATGGCCATTGACACCGATAGATAAGCATGCATTTTTCCATTAAGAATCTGGCTTTTTCGTGCATACCATAACTGATATATTCACGACCAATGTCACGCATGACATCGGCAATCATCTTATTATCATCGTTGTTGATATTGGAGAGAGCTTGCTGTAATAAAGGTAAGAGTTGAGTCTCGCGGATTGAAAGTGCGTCTTTATCGTTTCCACGGAGCCTCTCAACATTTGCGAGGTGACGCTGTAAACTAGCCATAACCATAGGATGGCAGAGTGGTAGATTTCGACTGCTGATTTCGAAAGCAAACGCGTAACACTCGCCACTAAGATGGAAATGTTCTTGCTTGTACATGAAGTCGCCCAAGTCGATCGCTAATCCACCAATGAGTGTTGGATGGACGCATTGATAATCGAGCTGTTTATAAGATATGAAGTATGTTTCGAGGATTTGATGAGTTAACTGAATGTTAGAGGCGGTTATTTGACAAAGATATATCAGTCCTTGAGTCCAGCAACGTAATGTCCGCGACACGAATGAATGTTCGTTCGTAAAAAGAAGTTGAATTCGTTCATACATAGAGAACAGATGTTCATTTTCTTCTTGTTTAATATAGACAAGAAAAAGATCAAGTAAAAGACGAATGAAAGAGGGATCATTGTCAGATACGAACGTTTCATATAGAGTTATTGCAGTCGTATAAGATTCGTTAGCCTTATCTAGTTGATCGCACCTTAATGCAATTCGACCTATTTGTGCTAATCGGTGGGCATTCAACAGTGGATCGAGTGAATATTCATTCATACTTGAGACGTAATAGTCGATGGCGGCTGGCACTCGATTCATATCTGCAAGTAAACAACCAAACAGAATATTTTCATCAGCACATTCACCAACTTCTCGACGTAATTCCACGTGACTCTGCCATAACTGTTCTCGACTTTCATTGCCTTTTATCATACGTAGCTGAACTGTATGCATATCAAGAAACTGATCGAATTGGATGGAGATGACTTGAAATGAAACATCAAGTGCAAACAAAACATACTCATTATCCAAAGCCAAAGCTGGAGGGTCGTCACCCAAATCGATTTCAAACAGAACAGCATATACAGAATCGCGATTACGCGGCCGATTCCGTAAATCACTAATCGTTCGCTCACGATTCTTGCGTCCAATCAGGAAGCCTTTGGGCATCAGAAGCGTGTCTTGATGTTCCAGAAGAAACTGCATTCGCTTTGCATTGATGAATGTGGCCAGAGTGATGGGTTCTAAGTTATTCATGGAGTGATGCTGTGACTCAATGGTTTTCATCAGGTCAATGATGAAAAAGCGAGCTGCTTGTATGATTTGCATATCACCTTGCGTGAACGCTTGTTGAAGCAGACGTTGAACAAAAGACGCACGACCAGCGAAAATCCAATTTTTGGCAGTGCCAGTATCATATTCTTCGCGGAATCGTTCGATTTCAAATAACACTAGTGGATTGTTTTGATACCATTGCGAGGCTAACGCAAGAAATTCCTTCTTCTCGATAGGAGGCATTTTCGATATAGTGCGAGTAAGAAGTAGTTGCCAGAAAAAGCTAGCTGACTCAGTGGAGAGATCAGCGCTTAGTTTCTGTTTGGACTCGTAGAACCAAAATGCATAACCTCTATCTGCTTGAACGGTGCTCGCCAACAAGTCAATCGAACGCGGCAGATCACTTTCATGCAATACGAGTGTGGTCTGTTGAATTGCAGACGGACAATCCCCATAAACGATAATGGCAGCGATATGGGCAACATGTTGAATTTGTTTCACTATGATTTTTTCCACCGAAGTATGCAAAAGAACAAAATTATGTTCATCACGATTCGATAAGATGAACTTGATCGCTGCTGAACTGTGTGAATCTGCATACGCTCGAACGATATGTACGATACTACGCAAGTGATCCATGATATTTCTTAGTGTTCCTTCATCCTCATCCTTGTAGATCCAAATCAAAGTTTTATCTTCTCGATGACGTTGTGCAGCACGCTTTAATCGTTCATCAGCAACTGACTTGTTGTGTTTTAACACAGCTTGGACTGCCTTTGTTGGATCAAAATTGTCGATAGGTATAGTCACTGTCACTGTTGAACTTTTTTCTTTTGTGTTATTATTCCAGTTGTGAAGTTTCCATACAGACGACTCCCATTCTCGATCACCTCCAGGCATCATTTCCTATCCAAAAAATATCGTGAGACGAAACCATAAAAACAACAAATATGAAAACAAAAAAAAGTATCTATTCGACGAAATTACACTTGATGCTGAAATGTCTTCTACACTTAAATCTGATTGAGATGTGGGAAAGTTTTTCAACGTACAAGTTGGTTGTCATTGGCAAGTAATCGATCTTTTATTGCATCCAAAATGTGTTTTCACGAGTTTCTCAGCTGAATTAACCCATGTTCTTCAGTCAGAGCATCTTTGTTGCAATACTATTTTATGAATTGCGAGAACACGTCTCTAATGGCACATCGCCTCGACTCTTTTCCTTCAATTTCACAAATAAGAAAATAGAGAACTACTTTCGTCAGAAAGATTTGGAAAACGCTTGGTGTCGTTTGGACAGATATGTGTTCGAACCGAAATCTTTTCTTGTTGTGAAAATCAGTCGAACTACTTCCAAATCATGGACGAGAATCGGCAAACTCATAAAAAACTTTTCTACAGGTTATGTTTTGGCCCTTGTGTACATCAAGGCATATGTCGTTCTCATACTGCGCGGGCACTACTCTTGAAGCAACTCTATTGGGAAAACACCATGATGAGGACTTTCAACAGTCCAGTAATTGAAGTGAATATCGTGTTTTTTCTTACCGGAATGGTATCTATCACGCTGTTTGAAACATCTGTATGATAGTCGAGCAAAGTACGAACTGCTTTTAATGCTGCATCACGCAGTTTGAAGGAACTCTTTTGGTAATCGGTTGCCAACTGCATTACTGAGGTTAATCCTCCTTGATGGACAAACTCTTTCTTGATCGTTGTACATTGAAATGATCCTATTAAAATATAAAAAAGGTTCTTGAAGGTTTTATTCAACTGTACGAGCAGCAGAAGACTTCCGACACATGATCCTTTACGGAAGATCTTGTGAGCTTAATGATGTCGGCGCTGAGCAGAGATCGAAAACGAGCCGAACTGCTCCGAAAAGGCAATGTTAATCGTGTTCGCGACCATGATTTCTTCATTGCCTATTACCTGAACACATGCAACATCCCTCCAAGTGCGAAAAATTCTCGTTATCTCAATTCTGAAAGCAACGTTTGTCAAGAACTTACTCTGTAGATGCTTCATTGTGGCTATTAAATGATATGGATACTTGAAAGCTCCATTGTCTGAAGTGAAGTCTTTCAATACCACAGAGATTAATTTCTTCGCATCAATCTGTAAAGGAAGTTCATCCCTCTCGGTCAAAGTTGTCAATAGAAGATGACATGCATCCACTTGCATATCAAGTCGATCATTCTGAGCCGTATAGGAGTACACTTGAGAAAGATTTGCTTCCTTGATTACATTCAAAAGATGGGAATTCAAGGCCAGGTCAGCCAAATTTCGGAGAAAAATCTCGATCGTCAAATTAGGATTGTTGTTCCGAGTCCGATTAAATTCTATTGGAGTTTTCGCAAGGATGAGAAGTAGAGATTCTACTAATGATCCGTATGAGTTGATGTGAACTTCAGTGATCTTCTTATCAAATTCCAAAATTGAATTCGTTAGAATGGAGATCAATTTTGACAGGATGAATACGGTTGGTTCACTCCAATGAAAAACCGAAGCATTGATGGCTTGCTCATGAAACCATTCAGGAAACGTTATCATCAGTTGTGTAGATATCGAATCACAGCAATGCTTGCGATGTTCGTCTGCAGAGGCCAGTATGTAGTCTAAACAGGTATCAAAAATAGTTTGTTGTGCAGCAGTCATTTCACCAGAAGAACACATTTGATACCAAGGATATGCAAGACATTCAGTAATAGTATTGAGAAGCTCTTCTTGCAATGAATTGTTCTGCAGAGCTCTGCCGTGATATTGAAAGCATCCAAGGGAAAAAAGCAGATCACCAATACATGCAATCGTGGGATCATTGATACGATACATGGCAACTTCTAGACATAAACAAAGTTCTTTGATCAGACTCTTCTCAAAAAGAAGTTGTTCGAAGGTAATTAAATCAATATCGGCAACATGTTCACTTAGGGTAACAAATAGGTTTCCCACTTTTGATAAAACTTCTTGTGCATGATGGTCTGTGACGAGTTTTCCTCGCCATCTATTGAGCTGCACAGTGTAATAGTGTCGAAGGTGAGTAAAGAATTGGTGTGACAGAATTTTTGATTTACATAAAAGTGATATCTCGTAGGCAGCGAGCGAATCAAGCATTTTTGTGATGTCTTTTAACGACTGTTCGTCGTCATTGGTAGTATTGTCCAGTTTCAATATACAATCATTCAGAAATCGTACGAGCCGTTCACCATCACGAATACCGAGCAGTGACATGATTGTGATTGCGCTCTTAAACGACAATTTGCCCTCTCTATTCGACAGAAGTCATGGGTAAAAAATGTTTCAGCTGGAAAGAAACTGTTTACCGCTGAAAAGGGAATAACTCAAGTTGAAAAAGAGATTGTTTGTCGCAGGAAAGAAAAGAATGCACGTTGGAAGAAATCATTTATGACAGGAACGTCGTGAGGGTGGATGAGGGTGAGGGGTGGCTATCTATCTTAAGGGTGAATGTGAGGGGTGGCTATCTATCTTAAGGGTGAGCGTGAGGGGTGGCTAT